TAGAGGGCAGTGTCACTGGCCCTCATATGTGGGATCTGAACCGGGGCCCTCTGGCGTCCCAAGCCAGTTCTTAACCATCGCGCCACTCGGCCGGCCTCCAAAAAATGTTTTTGCTGTAAACAGTATGCCATGTGATGCTGGCAGCAGCCTCATACATCTCCTGTTTATAGCAACTTTTGACTGCATCATTTCTCTTGTGCTCAATTTAATCTCATGTTCTTTTGTACAGTAACGTGCTGTATAGGCTTGTAGCTTGGGAGCAGTAGGAAACCTGATACAGCCTGGGTGTGTAGTAGGCTGTACCATCTAGGTTTGTGTTAGTCTGCTCTATGATATTCTCACAATGACAAAATCACCTAATGGCGCATTTCTCAGAATGTAGGTGGCCAATGGCTGTCCTTGTATCTTGATCAGAAATAGATTCACAAATAATATCAGATATTTGTTGAACAGTAGTTAATTCATCATCTCAGCATACTTATTGCAATATGAAATTGCTAAAGAATTCTTTATCATTTCCATTTTGAAGCTCCAGAAATGTGTTGTTCTCTGTAGATTAATATAAAACTAGTGTTCTCAAAATGGAACCAGAGGTTCTGAAGGTTAGCATTGGGGTGTTCACCTACACTTATACATAAGGAGGATAGCTCCACAGCAGAAATGAGCAACTTAAAAGGCATACATTAATTCCAACGTAGATAAGCAGTGTTTAATTCTACCTATGCTCAGATTTATATAACCCACATGTAGCTCCTGTACACATAGCAGTTTTCTTTCTTTCTGTCTCTCTCAGGAGAGAAGCACAATATTCACAGAATATTTTTGTTAGTTGATGTCACACATAGTTTAGATGTTCACTGTTTCTTCCTGGCCAACAGCCTCTCCTTAGAGCACAAGATGCATCCACGTGATGCAGACTGGGACGGTCTAGTTATCATGTGACTCTATTTAGTCTCTTTTTGGCCACAGTTGATGAACTAAATGAAAACGCCTGACCTAAGCTGAACCAATAAAATTTGTTATTTTGGGATTTTGATAGTGAGTCACAAAGAACCATGTTTTGCCATGCGTAATGTGCACTTTTTTGCCCAAATCTGCGAGGGAAAAATAACGATGTGCATTATACATGGGTAGAACTAATTCCATATCTGTATGCAAAATAATACCCTGGAATATGATAATCGGTTTTGTTGAATTTACAACAAACTTGCAACGACGAGGAGTTCTTGGCCTTCTACTGGGTTGTCGGAAAAGTCATGATGTATTGTTCCATGTTTTTCGTTGCAAAAATGCATCATGACTTTTCCGACAACCCAATATGATGCGTAAATATCGTAAATTTGTTACCAGTACATAAAATTTATTGTACCTTGTATCTGTTCTTGTGTTTTGTAATTACTTGTTACATAAAATTCCTTGTACCATAATATGTTAAAAAATAAATGCTAAAATTTCTTTATAATACAAAAAACAAGTACGTAAATGCAAACAAGTAAAAACTTGAATGAAAAAATTAAAACTAAAGAGTTTTTTCCCTGAAAGTTTGGGCCAAAAACGTGGGTGCACATTATGAGCAGGAGCACATTATACATGATAAAATACGGTAAGTTAATTAAAAGAAGCTGTGCTGAAGAGTCATACACAAATGGAGGTTACCATGATTGTCCAAGACCACATAGATGTGGATAAGAGAAGGCAAGTTAAAGAGAGAGAGAGAGAGAGAGAGAGAGAGAGAGAGAGAGAGAGAGAGAGAGAGAGAAAGAGAGAGAGCAAGAGAACCAGATATATAAGGAGAAGAGATAAAAAGCCAATTTCCTCCCAAGACAGTAAAATGGCGAGTGAGGCAGTGGTGGGACCAGGTCCAGGCTGTCCTGTCCCCTCAGGTCAACTTCACTTTGTACCTTGAGTTCCCCTAAATCTTTAGAATGAACTACTTGTTATTTAAGCTGGTTTTAGAAGGGTTCTGTTTCTTTACTGTTATTTTTATGGTATTAATCAGATAATACTGTACTTCATCTTTTGCACACATAATTCTAGATATCCCACAACCTTTCTGTATGTTTTTAAAAATATTTGAATACAAATATTCAGTTCTAGCCTGAAAACTCATGCAGCTTTTAGCAAAGAGCCAGTTGCACAAATTGTGGAATTAAATGTTGAAAATTTTGAAGATTTAAAATAAACATCCTGTCAAACACTCATCATAGCAACACCAAAATAAATATGCTAGTACTTTGTGGTTAAAGAATGGAAAATAAAGTTCCATATTCCCTGAGCATCATCACAATGAAAATAAACAAATTCCACCTCCAAGTTTATTTCTAGAAAGTGGCCTGAGGAAAGCGTACTACCAGCAGCTTTAATAAATGGCATGACTTAACATTTTTGGATTCAAGAGACTA